TAATAATAATAATAATAAAAAAATAGAACGACAAGAAAAAGTAAAAGCACGTCGATACTTCGTCGGTGTTCCAGGATACGCATTACAAAGTCTTTGGAAATGATTTAACGAGCGCGATATCACACGGATCTCGATGGATCCCGCGTTCTAAATTCGAGATTCACAGCCTTAATCTTTGCCCGCACTCAAACGGATCGATATACTCGGCGAGTGTCCGATAAAATCGGTTTTGAATTCTGTACGCCAGACCTGACAACTTTTCGAACGATCTTATTTGAAATATTACGTCGGATAACGTATTATTCGATTTTAGAATCATTTGAAATCATTTGAAAATTGTTCCTTCAAAATTATACGAACTGGCAGCAGATATGATGATTTTGAATTTGAAAAAGTCAAAGATGGTGTAGTAAACAATACTCAAGCACGAATAACTGTACTAACATTATTGCAAAATAAAAGGACCGATCTGGCTATGTTAAATGATTATTCAATCAGGATTACTAGAACATGAGATCATGTTTTTCGTAAGTAAAACGCCACTCTTGCATTGTCGACACCAGTGGAACGATCATTTTCATTTACAACCATATTAGAGTCTGATAATATTAGAAAGAATTTTGCGAAACGATTTTTAAAATAAATTCATACTGTCGAAGATTGTTTGTATTGTTACATTTGAAATAGAAAGAATAACGAAATAATTCGTTCTTCGAATAAAAAACAGACTGGTTCGATACCTAAATGAAACCATTAAAAATGTGGTAGCTGCATTGAATTCTTTCATATCTTTTTTTAATGTATGATTGTCATTGCTCACGTGAGAATTAAATCAAACATATTAGTATTTTTAAGACGACGCAATTTCTATTATCATTCATATTTTTCTTCTCGAATTACTGTAACGAAACCAACCGTCCGAAATAAATGATCTCAAATAGCTCGTTTTCTATTTTCATTTCAATGAAAATTTGCCCAGGTCTGCTGTAAGCACACGTAACTACGTTTCTGCTGTGTCGCAAGAATCTCGTCCTAACTTTCACGAAAATAAAAAAAGATCACCGTTTTAGGTCAAAAGCCCACCAGTCCGTTCGACGCGCGGTCCTTAGACCCGATCAATTACCTTTTCGTTTCACGTCGAATAATTAGGTGTCTTCCACGAAGAGGTTTCATTTTAAATTTGTAAACTGCCTGGGAAATGAGAGCTACACGATTTGAAAAAAATTAAACGATATATGCTTCAACAATGCACAGAAATAGTGAAACTTCGCTACGAGCAACGAAACAATTGCATTGTTGAACAATTCTTGGACGCGTTATTTTAAAAAATAGAGACATAAATTGATATAATTGATCTGATCTGATTTCTTTGGGGGTACGCAAAGGAAAACTCTACGTCAATGAGCCGCGAACAATTCAAGCGCTTAAAGACAATATCGGAAATGTTATTCGTGAAATATAGTCGATAATTGTGGAAAAACGCGATGCAAAACTACCCGAAGAGGATGACAATTTGTCAGGAACCTCAAGGTAGCCTCAAGACAATCCTGAATCGTAGAGTTGTACTTTGAATTGGAACAAAGATGTTAGAATTATTTGAAAAAAAGACGTTTTTTTAATGATTTAAAATGAAACTACTCGATGGAAGATGATGGACGCGGACAATGAAACGAAAAGGAAGAGACCTCGGTAACGAAGGGCAATCTTGGGCTCTCGTCGACCGCCGTTATCCTTATAAACTGATTCACCTGTCATACATCGCACGCGCACTCATCGTACAGTTTTCTCGCACGCTCATCACGAACTCGTTCAGGCATCTCTAAACACTTACAATGGCACGACCAAGTATTTGCACGCTCGTTATTCATGGAATAACTGCTTCTGAAGAAGTTTACTCGCTTTTTATTTTATTTTATTTTATTTTATTTTATTACTCGGTATTTAGATAAAATAAATTAGATTTTTGTTTCTTTGACGCCTTACTTAATACTTTCACTGAATTCTTATTTAAAAAAATGTCAACATTTGCCGAAATTGTAATTGTTTATGACACAGGGGATCGTATTAGGCTGATTGAACACGAAACTTCAAGGGAGAAAAAAGGATGAAAAAATAAATTTTTGTTTGTTAGATATTGCATAGAATTTCTACTGAATTATATTTAAAAAAATTTTTAAATTAGCAAAACTGTAACTGTTTGTGGTATAGGGTATCCTATGATGACTAGAAGCGATTCTCTTGGTTAAAAAATTTAGACGAAATATTGAAAATGTTTTTTTTATAATTATAACCACGACGAAATGTAAATTCATCAACGTCGGCGGTTAATGTTGTAATTACTTTCTTGGCTAAGAAACTTTCTTTTCTTAACAATTTTTGAACGGTAAATTATTAACGTTTCCATGTGAACGTATCGTTTTTGTGCATAACGAAGCACTAAAATAAAGCACTATTATATTACTTCTCACGGGCAGTTGTCTTTAAAATACGGGATGTGCAAATACTTTTTTGAGCCACTGTACTACGCTACGGTCGCTAATACTAGCGGAATTATTATTAAGGTCGTCATCGTTACGACTACTACTACTATTATATTATTATCGTTAATATTAATATTATTATTGCTGTTATTATTGCTGGTATTACTATTTACAAGTCTTGTCTCCTGTCGGGTCGGAGACCACGTCACGATCGCGATCCCTGGAAGGGAATCGTTGTTCGCAGGTCGCGCTAACCAGCCGTGAGGAACGAATTCTGGATCAACGATACCTCGCAAAATAATTTTACAGAGAATAACTATGGTTACAAACTCTTGTGCCCATATTTTCAGATTGACCGTGGCTCCAAGTAAATTAAGAGGTTAGGTGTTATTTGTTACTTTCCCTGTAGTAAGAAATAGTTTGCTTCGAAACTTTCAAGAATTAGAATTTTTCTTGTTGAACTTGAGCGATGCTTTACAGTGCAGACTGATACTCTTGAAAATTTCTACTGTGATTAAACTTTGTTTGTAGATTATTAGAAACTACATAATCAAGCATTTATTGTGGTATTTGTGTCTGTGACTTTATCGAAATTCATTTTCTTTGACAATGAACTTTCAGAATTAATTTTTTAATTCTTCGGTGAAAAGCACTTGTCACCCACATACGGGTGACATGACGTATCAAGGGGAGTTTACTGAATAATTAACAAATTATCTAGGCTCCAGAATATCAGAATTTCATCATTTTAGGATTTCATTATTTCAAAAACATTTCTTCAGCCCTTGCAAGAGTATAAAGAAAAATAACGAGTATGAAAGCAGAGTTAATACGTAAATTATTGCAAGAATTAAAAATTTATAAGAGGAGACTGTAAGACTAGAAAGAACTAAGAGAGGTTCAATCGATTACTGAAACTTTCAACAAAGCATCGACACCGACTTCAACTATGACTTCATTTTTTTATCTTGTTTCGAACGGGACTATGACTTATTTTTACAAAGAAATTAAAGAATACCTAAATTATTCTGTAATTGACCACTTCATATTTAAATTGCATTGCGATCTTTCCAAAATGAAGACAATGTAAAATTTAATACGACGACATAACCAAATTCATGTTTAATTTCCTTTCCAATTAAACCAAGTTTCGCTATCGATCCTGCAAAGGTACCGATAGCCAAATTCTCTCGATAATACTCATCGAAAAACGCTAGTTTCGCTTCTCTGTAAAACTACTCTGTACCTACGCCACAAAACACCAACAATGGCGTCCGATCCAGCATTCGTACGTCGCAGAATCTTTAAACGGTTAATGACTAAACGCTAATAAATAGGCAAATGAGATGAAAGCGCTTGGCTGGTAAACGCGGGGGTTACGAATCGAGAATTGACGCGAAGGGTGTGGAAAGATGAAGGGATACACGACAAGAGAAGAAATGGACGGTGGGGGGGGCGGGGGGCGGGGGAGGAGGATACGTAGGGCCATCAACCGAATCTATCATAATTTTTTATGATAGGATGAACCTCAAAGACCGGGACATACCAGCGATATTCGGCGTGGAGCCTAATCGACTCACGATGAGAAATCGTGAAGGTTAACGCTAAGTTTACGTAGGTTTGAACTATCTTTTCCTGCATCGTTTCTTTTTTTACTTTCTAAGAACTGAGTGAGAAAAATGAATTTGTAGTCGTGCTTGTCTCTTTAAACGTAAGTAAAGATGAGTAAAAATTTGAAATTTTTGGGGAAGGTTCGTCTTTGAGTTATGTTTGAAAATCTGCAGCTGTTTTAATGAGATATTTACTGTAATTCCTAATACTCGAGACAAGAAATTATTCTTTTTCACGTTTTGTTGAATGTAAATATTTGGTAAGAATGTAAATATTTAGAATGTAAGTGTAAACGGTTTCCGTAACCTCCCTCGTGAAATACGGAACGAGCGACAACATAAACCTAGCGTTAATTCGAAAATGAGCCGCTAGTATGTCACCAGCCTAACTCGGATCGGATCGAATCGAATCGAGTCGCATCGGATCGGGTCGCGTTAGGAACGACTACCGTGCTCCGTTGGTCGTTCGTGGAGCGTGCTAACCCTAAACGGACGTATGACCATCACCTTACCTGACATTTTCATGACCGATCGAACGTGAAAATGTCATTTGCCACGTGGCAATTTTTCGTATACAGAAAGTAGTCTTGGTACCTCGTCGCTAATACTTTTATAATTTTGATAAAAGAATGAAAATATAGCTCCATTTATCCTCGTTACGGAGGAACTTTCAAAAGGATGGAGATTTTGAAACTAACTCTATGAAATTTAACTTCTGGCACAACAACGGATCGATACGAAAAGTGTCCCTTCCATTAATCTCTCGAGTGACGAATTACTTTCTTGGAAATAAACAAATATTCAAGTTGATATTTACCTATGAATCTCGTCACGATGTTATTTTATCGTATCATTGGAAAATTCAATTGTAAATATTTGTTTACGCCTCTAATCACTATTTCCACGCGATAGTATTAGGTTGTCCTAAAAGTTTCTATCGTGAGTTGCATTCAATTGTTTTCTGTGACAGTGTTTATATATAAATAGACAATCTAATTTCTTAGACATTGATGCTGTAACAGTAATGGAGCGAAATGAATTGTACACAATTTTGTAATGTAACATAAAACATAAAATATTGTGTATGAATTAATTATTAATCAAACGAGAGAAACTTATGGAACAACTTAATATAAAAAAGAAATGAAAAACTAAACCAACAGCCTTCGAGAGGTTAAAGTAATATCCTTTTGAATGGTTGGTGCAACGATTGGTCTAGGGCTCACCTAATGCAGAAGAAATCCAACTCAGCGATGACAGAGATGTGTCTAGGTAGCTAAGTTGGTAGCTATAGGAAACGATGTGTGGTCCCAATTATTTTATACGGAAAAACCTCGTTTATCCCCATGCACTATTTTCACGAGACTGACTCAAGTTTAGGCCAAACTTGAAAATCACGAGTCACCCTCGTTGTCAAATTTCGTAGCCGAGTCCAGTACCTCAATCTACCCTTCTATTATCTAAACTTTAGATTCTAAGGCATGGTCGAACGTAGAGGTCCATGGTAGAGGGCTCAAAAAGGACCTCTATTATCGGAACTGGCTTGTCTCCAAACCTGTTAACCCTTAGCGCTCGGGTGGCGCCTCTAGGGCGACATATGTAATTTAAAAGTAATTTTGTGAACGTACAATTTCAAATTCACTTACATCCGAATACAACTAATTGGTAATTGAAATAATAATACATCGAGTCACGAACGTTCGTAGATGTTTCTGTTCGAAGTAGAGTTTTTGGTTTCACAGAAATTTATTATAAAAATGGACTGGATTTGGTTCTATAGAAAAATGCCTCGAGCGGAAAGGGTTAATATATGAGGATAAATGAGGTTCTACTGTACTTCTATTTTTCTCTTTATACTCTCTATATACTTTGATCTTTTCTCAAAGATATTCTCATTTCAGTTTCACGAACGAATTGGATGCTTTTCTAGCATCGCTTTTCCCCGAAAGAACAGGGATGACTACCGCGAAAAGAAGTCGGGTACAAAAGGCGAACGTCCGTTAAGGGTTGAGGTAAACGCGGATTCCTCAATGGCTGCCGATGTTCCTTAACACCGCAGCGAACGAAATCGGATCGTTGCTCGCGTCTTCGATAAGCTCGAGATTTCTCGGTAACAGACAAACGTCGAAAGGATCGGGCGTGACGGTGACGCCCGCGTTACCGCGCAAGCTCGGCAAGGACGCGCCCTCCGGCGATCTCAGCTCGAACGTGTGCATCAACGAGCTGAAGAACAGGAATAACTCCATGCGCGCCAGCACATCGCCGAGGCACATACGTCTGCCGACACCGAAAGGCATAAAGTATTCCGGTTTCTGGACTTTACCTTCGGCCGAGAGAAATCGGCTTGGTCGAAACTCCTCCGGCTCCTCCCAAAGTTCCGAATCCATGTGCACCGCGTGCAGCAGCGGCACCACTTGCGAACCCGCGGGAATCGTGTAACCGTGCAACGTCACTTCCCTGAAACAAACGACAACACCGTTTCTCAATTCCGAGTTTCCCCGTTTGCGCTTCAAAGACACGAGTTGCCTTCTTCCAGGGCGAAAAAACGATTTCTCCGCCATTTTTATTCGCCAGCTTTTGACGAATTTGATTAAATTAGTAAATACAATGGAAGCTTTTCGGAGACGGAGTAAAATTAAAAGTTTCTAGTTTCGGCTTGGATTAGTTTTTTAACCGACTTCGAAAAGGAGGAGGTTACTCTATTCGACGTGTATTTTTTTCTTTTTTTTTTCGTTCGCAATATTGAATGCTGTTAATGTATACATGTATACTGTCTACGTGGAAGTACTGTCTGAGAGGGTTTGATGTATTTGATTTGGCGAAAGGGAAGAGGGTCAAAATTGCATACAGTTAGCCCTTGGATACCCTAAGTTTCAAATTTGATACAGGACTTTTAAATCGAATTGTACTACTTGCAATTGGTTTGTTTTTAACATTTGGTTGTATGTATGTTGCCATTACATAACGCTCTTCTGAACAGAAGTTAACAAAATAAACGTCAGCTGTCAAGATTGTTCAAATAATATGTACATTGATATTTTAAAAAATTTTTAATTTTTGATATATTGTTGATTTAATAATATTGATTATTGCTAATGTACGTACTCTCTGCATGAAAATATCGTCTGAGTAGGTTTGGTGTAGTTTTTGAAAAGGGCGGCAATATTGAATACCGTTAATATACATACTGTCTACACGGAAATACTGTTTGTGTAGGTTTGTTAACGTGATAAACTGATGTTCCTCCACAGAAAAAAAGTTGGAAATTATGTATTCACCGAGATCGGTGCAAAAGACCATTTTTTGGACTATTTCAGTTTTTTACCTCTGGCGGAGAGGAGGGGAGGAGTTAAGGGTCAAGATAACTACTATTATAATCGCAAAGTTAAGGGCTACCTATGATACGAAAATCAGCTCGATCGAAGGGTAGTCCACTTTCTTAACTTCAACCGACAGGCGAATATGTGTGAAGTTTGGAATATCGACAATTATTGTCGATCGATATTATAAGTAAGTTAGTATGTTACGATTTGATTGAAGAGGGCTTTAGGGTTGTTTTTCAATAAAACTGTAGAAGAATTGAAGAAGTCTCAGCACAATAAAATAAAAGCGAACAAAGCTTGATACAAATTTGGTAAAGTAAGCGAAGTTGGAGAAAACTGAAATGAACTAAATAAAAGTGAACAGATCAGAAGAAAACTAAAAAATTGGAATAATCTCAAGGAACGTGTACAAAGTTGAACAAATCTGAATCAAACTGAAGACAATTCGAAGAAATTGAAGAAAAGTAAAGAAAAGAGAAAACATTAAATGCTTCTAAAGTCTTTATACTCCGAAAAGTTTTGAATTCTATAGTGAAAAAGTAAATTGAACGCAAACTAGGGAGTATCTTATCACAGGATTTATACCTGAAAGTTTCGACTAGTATCACGCAAAATTACTATGGAAAAAGTAGTTACCGTGTAGTCGCGTGAGTAGTTCCCAATGGTACTACGCTCGACCTCCGAAGCACTTCTAAGATCGTGGCTTCGGTGATCGGAAGAAAAGGTAGATCCTCCAGGCCAGGCATCCTCGATCTGCCCACCACCTGGTCCAATTCCTCCCTCACTGCATTCGCCGCTTCCGGATGATGCAGCATCAGAATCATCGCCCATTCGAGCGTGGTCTTCACAGTTTCCATGCCAGCGGAGAACAAATCCCCGAGGATCTGTTGCATCTGGCGATCTGACGGCAAAGAAAAAGAAAGACCAAGTGGTTTAATACAAAAATTAATATAATTTTTAAATCGAACAATTTGTTAATACTGAGGAAATCAGAGTTACACAAAACAACAGTTACGTTAACTTTAATTAAATTGTAGGAAATTGGAAATAAGTTCATGAAACTGTGGTAAACTTAATGAAATCGAAGAAAATTAGAACAAAACTGACGTAATTTTAATAAAACTGTATGAAATTGAACAAGAATCAAGAAAATATTGGAAAGTCGATAGAACTGCAGACTATTATGATAGAACTAAACAAATCACGAGAGAATCGAACAAAACTCACATAAACCGTGGAAAGCTAAACGAAAGTTAATAAAATTAAGAAAATCAAAAGAAAACTGAAATAGTCACCAGAAAAAAATTTTTTTTAATTGAACGACAGCCAATAGAAATTGAGCAAAGTTCAAAAAAATTGAAGAAAATTGAGAAAACCATACAAATCTCGACAAAAGAGTAAAACACATCAAATGTGGAATACCGAATGAAACTAAATAAAAACTGAAAAAACGTCAAGTCACTGAACAAATCAAAACAGAACTGAACTAGTCTCAAGAAAAAAATGATTAAAAATCGAAAGAAAGTCAACGTGGAGAACTCCAGAATTGTGGAGAACTGAACTCAATAAAATTGTAGAAAATTGAATAAAACTAAGCAAACTTCAAGAAAATTCAAGAAAATTCAAGAAAGATAAAGAAATCTCAACAAAACAGAATAAAGCACGTAAACTGTGAAAAACTCAATAAAATCAAATGAAAACTGAAAGAAATTCAAGAAAACCAAATAAGAGTCAATAAAATTAAACAAAGCTAAATAAAACAAAACAAAATTGAAGTAGTCACAAGAAAACTACAAAACTGATCAAAACTAAGCCAATTTCAACAAAACCGAAGAAAATTCAAGAAAACTGAACAAGAATTATTAATAAAACTGAGTACATAAAAACAGATCTAAAGTATAGAGGAGACTAAATGGTGCTCACCATGATTCTTCCCTTGGAAAAGCGACGCCGCGCGGCCTTCGCCCTTCGCCTTCTCGATCTCGAGGAGATAGGCGTCCACCAGGTCCCGCACGATGCCCTTGTCGAAGGTCGCCCGATGCTGATCGACGGCCTCCTGGAAGAAGTCCGCCATCTCCGAGCGGTTCTCCGATATCTTGTTCCGTATCTTCTGCAGACACGGCAGGTAACGCATCACAGGAATGAAGTTCACCGCGACCATGCTACCGAACAGCTTGAATCCCTCCTCGATCAGGTCCATGAACCTCTTGAACCTGGCGTCACCGTGTTGGAAACGCACCCCCATTATGATCGAGCAAATAACGTTGCTGATCGACATTCCTAAAGAGGCTGAGACGTCCATTGGCGCGCCACGTCGCAACGCCAGACTTCGAAGGAACGTCTTAACCTCGCGCTGAAAAATCAACGGAGGAATTTTCTTCAGCTTCTTTCGATCGAGATTCTAAAGACGAGTGGACTCGATCGATGACGGAACGAGGAAGGACAAATTGACAGGATATACAGGAACTGAGGAAGAGACGAGATTTATCGAAGGGTTCTGCTCACCATAATTCTCGATTCCATAATTTTCTTTCCGCCGCCCATGTAGGTCATGCCGAAGCTTCGGAGCTTCTCATGAAGAAATTTTCTTTGGTCTTTCCACATGGCGCCCTCGGTATTGATAATACCTGCAACGGAAACGAAAAAGGGCTCTTTATATGGAGAATCGATTAATTAATAATGACGGTTCGAAATAAATTATTTCGAGTGTATGGACAGATATATCGTAGAAACAGGAGATATGTAACCCTTTGTGGAGGCATTAGTAAATACATACATTAACAAAATAAAAGTAAAAGGTAATTAAAGTAAACAAATATTAGACCAATCGTGAAATAGAAATAATAATTATAGAAGAATTCATTTATCACAGCGTAAAATAAAAGTAAAGTGCAAATGAAATGAGTACACAAATCTTCATGTTCATGTTCATCATTTTAATACGTACATAAACTACTTAAAATAGTTCTTTCTTATTTTCATTTCAATTAAAATTTGCCTAGCTCTGCTCTAGAGACAGATGTACCACACACAGAATTTTGAGATTGGAAGGCTTCTATTTTGATAATGTGGTCATATTATACAATTTGAGAATATAATCATGAATATCCATACACAATGTTGGTAGTTTATTCTGTGTTATCTGAAATAAGTAGTTTCAAAAGAACTGTATAAAGTTGAACAAAACTACGCCAATTTCAACAAAAGTGAAGAAAATTCAAGAAAACTAAACAAAAATGAATAAAACCGAGTACAGAAAAACAAATCTAAAGTATAAAGGAGACCCAATATCTAAAATAATTGAAAAGCTGAATGTACTCGTATATATACCACTATCCCTTAATTGATTCTCCTTTCCACTTTCTATTTTCAAAGATACGGTCTGCTATAGAAAAAGTATACAAGTTGAAAGTTGCCAATATTAATATTAACGTTTTACAGAGATTCCTTGCTCGTATTATTTAGAATTATTTTTGTTTAGCCAAAAGTGAATTTGGATGTCTTTTCGTGCAAGGGAAAAGTCAACGTAAATGTTCGACAAAAACCAAGCGGTTTCTGTGACTTTTCTTGTGGAATTCGGAATCGGTGTCGGTCGCGATAAAAGAGCAATCGAAAAGGAATCGGTGACGCCACGGGAACCGATGGAAAGAATGTAAAAGAGATGAGAAAAGTAATGAAGAGGCGTGATCGAGGTGGAAAAAAAAGAGGCGAACGTTAACCTTCGATAGAGATAAAAAAAAAACGTGGCACCCGCGCGTGCGAAGTCGAGAATGCAAAAAAGGCGAAACAACGAAATGGCGCGAAACCGCGAAGACACGGACTGACGATAAGAGTGGCTATCAGAAAGGCGAGCATGACACGCGTCGACGGATTATATTATATATACTTATTCCCCCGATTTACGAGGAAAATCGGCTTCTCGGTAAACCGTGTACAGAGATATCGTAGATCTTTGTATGAAAAACTGTGCGAATACAAACAAAAACAATACGAAATGATTATAATCTAGTCTGGTGTTTAATTAAATTCATTTACTTCGTTTACTATTTTGTACTTTTCATTTATTCCAATAGTTTATTCTAATAGGGTTCTAAAGACGTGTCTTACTTTCACTTTGTTTGTTTCTAATCGAATTACAAAAAAACGTTACAAGATCTATTCAAAATTTATATTCATTCACTGTAACATAAAACAAAAGTAAAACATAATCGCAGTAAACAAATTAGTTGAATCGTGAAATAGAAATAATAATTATAGAAGAATTCATTTATCACAACGTAAAATAAAAGTAAAGTGCAAATGAAATGAGTACACAAATCATTTTAATTTTGATTCTTAATGACGTGTCTATTAGTTTCTCGTTTTTAAAATTTCTTTTCACCCGGTGAAACGTGTAAAATTTAATTTGAATTATAAGAAATCTCATGAGATCTAATTATTTACCGCTAATCGATGGATATAGAGTTTAAACGTTCTTGACTAGAAAAAGCATAATGTGTAAACACATCTAAGCATACAGCGGTTAATCGATAAGAGATTGCATTCATAACAAAACCGGTACCGAGATCGATCGGTGATCCAATTCAGTGGTGTTCGAATCTAAATTGAAATACCGAACGTTGTCCTAAATTATGCGTTTCTTATAAATTATCGAATAAAACGAGAAGTATCGGTAATGAGAGACACTGTCTTTCCAGGAAATCTTTAAAACGATAGCGGAAGATATTTTCCCGAGGGTTGGAAATACGCGTAATTAATTTCTTCGTGGTATTGAAATTTTGAGAAACGGCAAAGAAACCAAGTTTATTTTCGGTCGTTGAATAAAACTCCCTATACAATTCGCGGAACTAGTAATTAATCGATTGAAAGATGATTTTTGAGAAAACTTATCGACGATACCGAGCCACGAATTCGATTAAACGGAAGGCTACATGTGATCCTAACAGACAGGGTCAAAGATTGCAAAGTCTGCTCCCACGGAACAAGAAAACATGAGAGATATCGAACTATTATCGCGACACATGTCCCGGAAAGCCAGGAATGCACTTTGGCGAGTATTTCGTATTAGGCTATCTCAAAAAACTTTCGTTCTTTGTGTTTTGAATATTACGATCAAATTTATATCAAATTATTATAATTTCTACGCAAAGTCGAACGTATCGTATATCATTTAAAAGCGGAGGTTCCACTCTTACATTCTGATAATAAATATCGCGTATTTTTTTATTAATGCTTTGAGTCGAATTACGACATTTGAAAATGAATAGTTATCAATCGAAGTAATAAGATACCATACCAAGCAAAATTACAGTGCTACTACAAACTACAACATATAATATAATATATCTATATAATTATAGATTATCTTTAATACAAGCACGTGTAACGTTAATTCGTAGGTTTATTTCTTCCTGAACAATACAGCGTGAGTATGTCCATGCAGGAAAAAATGTTGGAGTGCTAAGAGTTGACACTTTAGCTACTTCTCCATTTAGAGCAAGTTTACTAGTTTAGTAGAGGATTTCCCCTATTAGTACAGATTTATTTCGACTGGGGTGTGTATACTGTTATTATGTCAAAAGACCTGTCTGTTTTCTCAAATTGACCAACGATACGATTTTAGTTAATTTTAGTTTTAACAGGTAGCCTGTTAACAAACGAACAATACAACAAACCGATCGCACAAATACGCGCGTAGTATAAATTTTCATTTTTAACGAAGAATTCTTGTCGAATTTCACGGACAAAGTCGATCTACAAGGATCATCAAAAATGAATTTGCTGTAACTTTCCTTGTGAAATTCGGTACTTCAACATGAAATAAAGATAAAATACAACGAACGTAACGAAACATCAGTTCATTCGTGAAATGGAAGATATATAACTGGCGAGTTCATAAGTGATCGGCGATATGAACATGTCAAAATGATGATTCTTCGTAAACCAATGTCGTTCGTTTCTATCCGTAAAAATTGATTTAGGGAAAAAGGTACCCGTATGAATCATTTTCAATTGTAAGAATTCGTCATTTTGAACAGTACGAAAATCGAAATCACATTGGCAGAAGAAAAAGATAGCATACGAATCGTTTTTATTTGTTGAAATTCGTAATTTGGAGAAGCACGAACGTCAAAATCGCGTAAAAAAAGAAAAAGATGAAAATATCAGGGAAATCGGGGCGCAGACTTACCATATCCGCCGAGGATGTTGATGAACTCGGTGTGGGGTCTTCCAGTGAACTCCTCGCGACGAAACGTGTCGCGGATGGTGCGATGATCGCTGAGGACGACCACGAGCTGGGTCCCCAATCGTGCACTGAACATAGGCCCGTACTTTTTCGCGAGTTCGCCGTAACGTAGGTGAACGTCGCCCTTCAGAAATGGCAGATAACCGAACACGGGTACGCCCCAAGGGCCCGGGGGCAAGGAACGCACGTACTTGAGCCATTGCAGACATCTCGCCACCAACAACACCGCGAGGAACACGAGCAACGTGTAAAGGACCTCGATTCTCGTTCCTCCCATCGCCTGCCAGGTCAACTGTGCCGCGTGCTCCACCAGCATCTCGTAATCCAAATATTTCTATCTCTATCCTCCTCTATATCCAGGCCCCAGAAAAAAATGCTCTCCTCGTCAGGGATTTCCACGAGCAAACAAGCGAGATTTTACAGACTTTCTTCTAGTACACCTCTAAGCTTGCACTAGCTCGTTCTTCTTTGACATCTTCCTTCGATGTCTTCTCGATCGACACTTCAATTCCCTTCGATCGCTCGTCTGTTCTCTTCGTATTCTCTTGTATATATCGAACGCTTCGATGTCACGACTCGGAGACACGCGCTCGAGATCCTCTCCAACCGGCGTTCGTCCGGACACCAGCGCGATTTTCTTCTTTCGAAACGTCGCTTCCGAAATTCGCGGCTATAAGTATCAAAGCCGATCGGGCTGGTGGGACATAATCTGGAGGGGAGAACACAGAGGAAGAACGTGTACAGGCGGTCGCCGCTTGTGTTCGCCTGGAGGGGGTGACTTGTCAAGGAATCGTTGGAATCGGGAAGATTCCCCGGCACAGGCGCGGAAAACTTGCACCGGCTGGAAAAATGAAGCGATAAGGCCCCGCTCGGGTGTCGACGGAGGTGATCGACTCGCCCCAGAGGAAGAAATGGCAAGTGAGAGAAAAAGAGAGAGAGGAAGGAAGGGAGGGAGAGAGAGAGAGAGAGAGAGAGAGAGAGAGAGAGAGAGAGAGAGAAAGGGGGGGGGG